TGCTGGTTATAAAAATATAGAATTGAAAGAGAAAGTCAATGACTGCCATTTTGGAACATTCAACGCGCTGTAAAATACAACATTGCAAATAAACCGAATAATAAATAATCATTTCAGCCATCACAAAACTACCTTAAATACTTCTCACAAACACTTGGATAGCTCAACCAAATGTAAATCATATAAACAAGTTCAAATTAGCAGAATGTTCTCTTCTTCAACCATGTAAACCCTTTTCAAAACCTGCACAACATTCCCGCCAAACTCTCGCGAGATCACACAGAAAACAAGAAAATAAAAGACCAGCAAGAACTTATCAAAACCTAAAGAAATAAAACACCGGAAAGAGCTGACAAGCTTCATAATACTGTCATACAAAAATATGACCCTGCTACAGTTTGTTCCACTTTTATTGTTTTTCTTGTTGTTAAAAAAAATTATGTATAAACATAACTTGCCCTGGAAGATTTTAAGTTTGATTTGGTGTAATCATTTTGTAGATAGAAGATGAAGTTGACCGTCGGAGAAAACTTGGTTTTGATAGTTTACAAAGGCTTAAAATCATAGAAGAGACTTATCGGCCTCTACATCCAGAGATATTTGTTTTTAAGGTATGTATAACCACTGATTTATATTACAGGGATCGGACATTCCCAGTTAACCCTATATTAATGCTTAAATATCTTGTGGTGCACCCGATAAAGGTACATCGATCGATAATTTATCGGCGCTAAGCGAAAATGCCCGTTCGCAACGGATACCTACTTTTACAAAATACCATATAGCTTTTCCATTTATTATCCGATTTTTGAAATTTAAAGTTTATTTTAAAGAAAAATGCTTGTTTAATTCAAATATCTAATTTATTTTTTAAAGATACAGACCATATGTCTGCAACGACGATTAAGAAATTAACTTGAAGAAATCCGCGGTAAATTTACATTTTTTATATAAAAAGCAGATATTTGAAATTTATTTTTACGGTAGCATAATAAATCCAATTTCAAAATAAAAAAGAAGCCGATGGAAGTTATTCACAGGTGATCAAAGATGCAATATTTAAGATTTATTTGGTTATGTAGTCAAATTAATTGACGCACAATTGTTTACGGGTAATGTATTGCGGGCTTTACAATTTGCTCAACACGTAAAGTAAATTTATTCATTTTTAGCTCGACTATTCGCAGAATAATCGAGCTAATGCAGTCACCCATTTGTCGGCGTCGGCGTCGGCGTCCCTGTGGTTAAGTTTTTGTATGTAAGCTGGTATCTCCATAACTACTGAAGGGAATGGATTGAAACTTCACACACTTGTTCTCTGTGATTATCTAAGATGATTGGCACAAGTCCCATAACTCTGAATTGTTTTATTTCATCATTATGCCCCTTTTTCGACTAAGAAAATCTTGGTTAAGTTTTTGTATGTAAGCTGGTATCTCCATAACTACTGAAGGGAATGGATTGAAACTTCACACACTTGTTCTCTGTGATTATCTAAGATGATTGGCACAAGTCCCATAACTCTGAATTGTTTTATTTCATCATTATGCCCCTTTTTCGACTAAGAAAATCTTGGTTAAGTTTTTGTATGTAAGCTGGTATCTCCATAACTACTGAAGGGAATGGATTGAAACTTCACACACTTGTTCTCTGTGATTATCTAAGATGATTGGCACAAGTCCCATAACTCTGATTTGCTTTTTTTCATAATTATGCCCCTTTTTCGACTTAGAAATTCTTGGTTAAGTTTTTGTATGTAAGCTGGTATCTCCATAACTACTGAAGGGAATGGATTGAAACTTCACACACTTGTTCTCTGTGATTATCTAAGATGATTGGCACAAGTCCCATAACTCTGGTTTGCTTTTTTTCATAATAATGCCCCTTTTTCGACTTAGAAATTCTTGGTTAAGTTTGTGTATGTAAGCTGTTATCTCCATAACTACTGAAGGGAATTGATTGAAACTTCACACACTTGTTCTCTGTGTTTATCTAAGACAATTGGCACAAGTACCATAAATCTGATTTGCTTTTTTACATAATTATGCCCCATTTTCGACTTAGAAATTCTTGGTTAATTTTTTGCGTGTAAGCTGGTATCTCCATAACTACTGAAGGGAATGGATTGAAACTTCACACACTTGTTCTCTGTGATTATCTAAGATAATTGGCACAAGTCCCATAACTCTGATTTGCTTTTTAACATAATTATGCCCCTTTTTCGACTTAGAAATTTTTGGTTAAGTTTTTGCGTGTAAGCTGGTATCTCCATAACTACTGAAGGGAATGGATTGAAACTTCACACACTTGGTCTCTGTGATTATCTAAGGTGATTGGTACAAGTTCCATAACTTTGAATTGTTTTATTTCATAATTATGCCCTTTTTCGACTTAGAAATTCTTGGTTAAGTTTTTGTATGTAAGCTGTTATCTCCATAACTACTGAAGGGAATGGATTGAAACTTCACACACTTGTTCTCTGTGATTATCTAAGATGATTGGCACAAGTCCATAACTCTGATTTGCTTTTTTTTATAATTATGGCCCTTTTTCGACTTAGAAATTCTTGGTTAAGTTTTGTATGTAAGCTGTTATCTCCATAACTACTGAAGGGAATGGATTGAAACTTCACACACTTGTTCTCTGTGATTATCTAAGATGATTGCCACAAGTCCCATAACTCTGATTTGCTTTTTTACATAATTATGCCCCTTTTTCGACTTAGAAATTCTTGGTTAAGTTTTTGCATGTAAGCTGGTATCTCCATAACTACTGAAGGGAATGTATTGAAACTTCACACACTTGTTCTCTGTGATTATCTAAGATGATTGGCACAAGTCCCATAACTCTGATTTGCTGTTTAACATAATTATGCCCCTTTTTCGACTTAGAAATTCTTGGTTAAGTTTTTGCGTGTAAGCTGGTATCTCCATAACTACTGAAGGGAATGGATTGAAACTTCACACACTTGGTCTCTGTGATTTTCTAAGATGATTGGTACAAGTCCCATAACTCTGATTTGCTTTTTTGCATAATTATGCCCCTTTTTCGACTCGTGAATTCTTGGTTAAGTTTTTGCATGTAAGCTTGTCTCTCCATAACTACTGAAGGGAATGTATTGAAACTTGAAGAGTTTGTACCTTTTCGGACAATTTTATGTATTCATATAGGTAAGCATTATTATACTAAATGAAACACCCTTGTGACAAATTTTCGAATAGTCGAGCTTTACTGTCCTCCGACAGTTCTTGTTTTTAAATACAAGATATTGCTGATATTGTCAAAACATGTATTGCCAGTTTCATCTAGGATATTTAAATTTTCTTCATCATTATATCATTATTATTTTTTTTGTAAATCTGTTTTCAAATGTCGGTGCAGTGAAGTAGACAATCATCGTAACAGTAAAGTACTCTCGTGTGGGCACAGTGGCTGTCTCGATTCCGGCCTTTTTAATGTCACTCGTATATTTTAATTATTTCACTCGTATATTTTAATTATTCTTTTTATTTGAATGCCTGTAGAAAGATATTTCTGATATTTTTAATGTAACGCTAAAAAAACAATAAAAATCTTTACAGTTTGAGTCAGTATTATGCGAAATAAAAGTAACTGTTGATTATTTTTTACACATCGCTTAAATTTCTTTAAAGTTTAATTACTTTTGAAGGGGGTTAATTACCAGGTAACAAGTGATAATTGAAAAACTTTGTTTTCAAACTTTCAATATCAGGTCACATGTGATAATTTCAACACTCAACCTTTAAAAACAAATAGAAATTGAATGTATATCAGGGCTCTCGGGGATTGACATTGACACGGGGATCCGGGTTTTGACTCGTGAAAATCGGGAAATGCACAAATTTGACACGTGATAAAATCTGCTCAAGAGTCAATTTGCCACATGGGATATTCAGCTATGCAATAATAATTACCTTTAATCCACCCCTAATTACCTATCAAATCCTACATCTGTCAAATCTCACTCATTAAAAATGCCAACAGGCAGTATAAGCCGTGTATAAAATGCTTTACACACAGCAATTGTTTATACCCTGTGCACTGAAGCGCGACAATTCAGTGGCTGCAATTTGACAGTGCTAAAAATAGCTCTACACAACTGATAAGAATTGCATACTTGAGGTGTCAATTATTGATTGCTTTTAAAGGTTTATAATACCTCTTTGATTTACTTGCATTTGTTATTTCTTTTTCCATTAAATATTCCAAGGTACATTTTGGTATTTAAAATTAATATGATATAGCATACCAGTAAAGATAATTCTTTTTATATTTTATACATTTAATCAGAAAAGCTGCTGCTTATTTCATTCTTTCACAGCAATTCATTTTTTGGTTTTATTTGTTTTTTTTTAGGTGGAGCAGGGGGGGGGGGGGGAAGGTATAGACATTTATAATTATGGATTTTTCTGTCAATTTAGACTTTGGAATCTCCATAAATGACCTCCAATACAGTGCATTTTTGTAACATAAAAATGATTCATGTAGTCAAATGACACTAGAAAAAAATGATTTGACTCATGAAAATTTTGGCCAAAGAGTCTTTAACTCATGAAATTCTGACCCTACTGAGAGCCCTGTTATAAAACAGCTGTTCAGTATGCCAATAAAAGTTTCTTCCTTGCCAATAAAACAAACTCATCTATATATGAACGAATGTCTAGAATGATTGACAGAAATGGCATTTACTTTATGCATCTGAACATACATTATCTTTATCCAAAGTTTAGTGAAATTCAATTCTTAATTAATAAATTTCCAAATATTGACATACTAGGACTGCAAGAAACTTTCCTTAGTGACAAATTTTCAAACAATGAAATCCATTTAAATAATTATCAACTTTTCAGACGTGATAGAGAGTCTAACGGGGGTGGAATAGTTTTATATGTAAAGTCAAACCTACCATGTGAACTAAGAGCTGATCTTGATTCTAGTGATATTGAGGCTATATGGGTAGAAATGAAACTTGACAAACAAAAACCCTTTATTGTAGGATACATTTATAGGCCCCCATCATCGCCAGCTTCTTGGAATGACCAGATTGAAAATATTTTAGATACACTTTATGTTGAAAATAAAGAAATTATTCTATTAGGAGACTTAAACTACAATTTTATAAATTTAAGCCCACTTAATTCTAAATGGAAAAAAATAATCAATACTTTCAACTTACAACAACTTATAACACAACCCACTAGAGTCACACAAACAACATCTTCCATTATAGACCACATATACACCAATCATCCACAGAATATAAGCTACACAGTTGTTCCAGTAATGTCTATTAGTGACCACTACCCTATTTGTTTTACAAGGAAAACTAATGCAAAACTCAAAAAAGGCCCATTACATATAACTATTAACTACAGGTATTTAAAAAAATTCAATGCAGAAAACTTTTTAGTTGACTTATCAAATCAACCATGGTCATTAATTGATGTGTTTACAGAACCTGATGATGCCCTTGACACTTTCTACGATTTATTTCTAAAAGTTTTAGATTTACATGCTCCGTATAAACAAAAAAGGGTAAAACGCAAAAACCAAAATGAATGGTTCACAGATGAAATAGCTAATGCAATAAAAGAACGAGATTTTGCAAAAAAGGGAAATAAAATTGAGGAATTTAAATACTGGAGATCGCAAGTCAAGGTGCTTTCTCACAGATCAAAAAAAGAATTCTTTAATCAAGAGATATCTTCAAACAACAAAAATCCTAAAAAGCTATGGAAAAATTTAAAAGACTTGAGTGGAAAAGCTGAAAACCACCAAACTAATTACATTAATGACGACAGTGGAAATCCAGTCTATGACCCTAAACAGACAGCAGAAATTTTTAATACATTTTTTTCAAATTTATTCAAAAATGCAGAAAATATTACAAAACTAACAAGTGCAAATGAATACATGTACATACTCAAAGAAATGTTAAACAGCAAAATTGACCAAAATACACCAAAATTTGATATTCCACCTATAGATCCAAGTCAAGTCAAACAAGCATTAGATTCTCTTGATGTTACAAAGGCTACTGGACTTGATGGCATTAGTGCTAAATTTCTAAAAACTGCATCCCCTGTTATATGTAGACCAATTTCTACTATTATCAATTTGAGTATCACAACAGGTAAATTTCCTGAAAAATTAAAACAGTCTAAGGTCACACCATTCTTCAAAAAAGGACACAAATCAGATAAGAATAATTATAGACCTATATCTGTTCTTCCAATACTTTCTAAAATATTTGAAAAACATGTGTCTGATCATTTAAAACAATTCCTAGAATTGTATAATTTCATTTTCAACACCCAATCAGGATTTAGAACAAAACATTCATGCGAAACTGCATTGACAAATATTGTTGACAACTGGATTAAGGCAATAAATGATGGAAAGCTAATTGGCACAATCTTTCTTGACTTGTCAAAGGCATTTGACCTTGTAAATCATAAGTTACTCATCCAAAAACTTTATTACTATCATATTTCTTCTGGTGCAATTACCTGGTTTACATCATATCTTGAAAATAGAACACAGAAGGTCACTGTATCTGGCAACCTATCAAAATCAGCAACAGTCATATCAGGGGTACCTCAAGGATCTGTCCTTGGACCTCTGCTTTTCATCATATACATAAATGATCTACCACTCCATTTGAAAACCTCAGAGGCAGATCTTTTTGCTGATGACACTACTCTCACAGCATCAGGTCTCTCTACACAAGATTTACATAATAAACTTCAAACTGACCTTGACAATATTAATCTATGGTGCAAACAAAATGCAATGATGCTAAATGCCCAGAAAACAAAAGCAGTGAACCTGTCATCCAATAGAAATAAACAACAATTACAACCATTACATCTGCAAGAACATGAAATTGAATTTTCTGAGACAGAAAAGTTACTAGGTATTCATGTTGACAATAATCTTAAGTGGAAACCCAAGTAGACAAGACATTAAAGAAATGCAATACACAGTTGTACCTTCTTCTCCGAATTAAACAATACCTTGATGTAAATGCAAGAAAACTGTTCTTTAATGCTTATATCTTACCACATTTAGATTATTGTTGTACAGTCTGGGGGAATTGTAACAATGAACAGATTTTGGATATCATAAAATTTCAGAAAAGAGCTGCAAGAATCATTCTTGACAAAAGCTACGATGCTCCATCTGCTGAGTTATTTAATGAATTAAATTGGATAAAATTTGATGAAAGAATTAGATACAAAAAAGCTGTCATTATGTATAAATCTTTAAACAATGCCTCATTTCCACAGTACATGAAAAACAAATTTCAATTTATTCATCAAAGACATGAGCATAACCTTAGGTCAGCAAAAAACTCAGATTTATTTGTGCCACAACCTAAAAAAGAAATTTTTAGAAAATCTCTGACATATTCAGGCCCTAAACTATGGAACAATATCCCTCATTCTATTCGTAAATCTGAAACTATTAGAAAATTCCAAGCTTCCTATATCAGTTGGAATTTCACATAAGTACCTTGGTCTTGCATAGATTAAGTATTAAGTAATATATGTACATGCATTGTGTTTTGAATATGTATTTTGTTTGAATGTACATTGTTTTTGTTGTGTTTTCATGTATATATTATGCATTTTTGTCTTCATGTATGTTATTTGAAAATTTTGCTGTATAACCATTATGTAAATTATGTATATTTTATGTATATTTATGTTTTGAGGCCCACATGGAAGATTGGGAAATCAAATGTGTAGCCTCAGTAAATAAAGACTTTACTTACTTACTTACTTACTAATGATCTGAAAATATATTTAATACACTAATTAGTAGAATATTTACTATATTTATACTAATATACAGGTAGATCAAATAAAGCATGTACAAATCATTTGGAAATAATTCACAGAAATAAAGACACATTTCAAACATGAATTTCTTTAAAAGCATTTTAGCAATCAAGAAACATTTTTTTGCAATGCCACTATTAAACCATGTAAAAAATAATTATCTTAATCTAAATCGCTGTTATAATCTATGCTTGACGTAAAAGGGCGTCAAAGTGTAGAGAGTATGCCTAAACAATAGGCAAATATTTTTTAAATTAGGTACTTTTTAAATAAGTGTCGCAGCGTTCTATAGGCATATTTTCATATAAAAATACTTTAGCTGCACAAAATAATACTGTATCAATACATTCATATGTGTATAATTTTTCACAGAGCTGCAATAACACCACATACTCTTGTGAAAACGTGTCATATTTCACACTCCGACATCTCATTCTGTCCACCTTTATCTGATTCCGCGCATGCGCGCGATGGGACTTTAAGCTAAACGAAAGTGTCCGATCCTTGTAATATAAATCCGTGGTATAACTAGCTGAGATTGCCAAAAGTCACAGATGTATTGTTGGGTTGTAATGTGACCTACAGATGACCCCTATAGATTGTTAGGTTAGAGGTCACATAAAAGCTGACAATACAAGTGTCAGATTTGATAAGATTGTTGTTAAGATTGTGATGAATTTGACTTCATGTAATTGGTTATCATACTTTATTAGCTTCAAGGATTTCGCTCTCCCGATTGATCAAAGAGAAGTCAACATCGCCGATAAAATCTTAATTCCCAAATAGTAATTAATTGGCGATGTAAAGAGCAGAGATTGTATCCGCCCATATAACGTCTGCTAATTATCATTATCCAATGAGAGCGTCGCTTTATACTACCCTTCTACCTGTAAGCAAAGCGATAGACCGCCTACTCTAAACAGTAAATAATGAGAGCATCGACCCGAAACGGTATATTTGTGTGACAGTTTTGTGAGTTTAATATGGGATTTGGCGATAATTTCCCGATTATCTAAACACGTGCAATCTTCCCTAATTGATTTACACAATGCACTTCGATGGCGGTGTTTAACCTGAGTAAAGGCGATGTGCAATGGATTTTTCACGGCTATCACTAGTCTCAATATTTCGACGGCAAGACAGACCGATTTTATAATCTGATATTTCATAGATGTCTGTCTTTCGTCTATAAAAAAAGCCCTAAAGCGCACAATTTGTTGGGCTAGGCTATCACAAAACTGTTACTAAATTAAAATTAATCAATTTGATTAATGATCAGCGACCGGATAGTTTTGAATGATTTCAGTCCGTTAACATCAATTTTTACTGTAAAATTATGTCGCTCACGTCATGGCTACAGGGCCTAGCAGTAACAGTTACTGATTCTGATAGTTACACCTACGCGAAAATTTAAGAAAGCCAATTCGCAAAAATCTTGCGATTGGTATGTTGTAGACAGTGAGGGTGTAATTTAGAAATGCCAAATTTGACACAGCTTACGCACGTGGACACGACATCCCGGCTAAACTACATATCGGTGGTATATAACAACAAAATTTGTCAGGAAAGAAGTGTTCTTACTGTTTCAATATATATATTTGTTTTGATGTCGTAAATATGACGCTCAGATTAAGATTTATCAATATTGTAAATTTCAAAAAGCATTATTTATAAAGATATTACTGAATTTAACATTTCATGAAAATAAAGGGAGGTAATTAGAAATTTATTTTCTATAATTTCTCAGTCAATTTTTTCAATAAGAAATGAATGTATATAATTTTAGTGATCAAATATAATGTGCACAAATGTTTGCAGTACATATTTTACATATTCTGCGATGTTTGAAAATTGTTTTATAAGTATAATTATATGCATATAAATACGACATTACAACATACAGGGTATTAAAAGAAAATTCTGTTATCAGAACATAATAAAACAGATTTTATTAATCAATATCCAATGTAACTTATCTTCTTATAAAAGTGAGGAAAGTAAAAAATATAAAAAACAATTTTTTAATCATATTTCTTACACATTATTATCAACAAATCTACATGAAAATATATAAACACATATTTAGAGAAAGCTGATAAATAGATATCAAAAATAATTTGTTTTTATTCATATTTGCAGCTCAAAAACATTTAGATGCCATTGTAAGATCTACTATTAATTAATTAAATAACTGGAGAAATATTATAAGTGATGTTAATTGTGTTTATATTATGATTAAAGGATGTATAGCCATGCATGTTAATGCATACACATTGGGTTGTTTCCCTTCTCCCTAATTTTCGCGAGGAAGTCACTTCTCCCTAAAATTTCCCCCCAGGATGAGCCCTGAGGACATCTTGTATAATTTAAATATTGCCTTGAGCTTTAAATGACTGACTGTAAAGGTCAGATGATTGAATTTTGCGTATTTTTTCTCAACTTTGTCATTTATTTATGAAATGATTCAAACTTTGATAAAACAATTTTTTCTTATGTTTTCAGGAATTTTTTTTGTCACCAAAGTTTTTACAACTTGTGAAGTGCTGTAAAGATGCCGATGCTACGTTTGAAGGTGTTTGCGAATATATTCAGGAATTAGAAAGTAAGTTTTAATTTAGTTGTACTCTATATTTTGTTGAGGTGTGGGGTTTTGTCCACTCTATAAAATTTTGAGGTGTGGGGTTTTGACTGGTGGGGCTTTGTCCTACATTCTACACCGACAGACCTTTTGATCATGAAAAAAGTCATAATCAGTGCTTCCTTGATTGGTTAATGCAGCCTGTCAAATATTCTGATGAGGAAATGGCCATCTAATTTTTACACGTCATCAGTGAACTTGAGTGACCTTAGGGGAAATCAAGTTGAACACCTGTCAGATTATGCTGTAAATTATAGCATTTCTTAAAATAGCAACACATTTTGTTTTCAGTTATTTTTCAGTTATCAATAATCATTTTAAATATCAAGTAGATTTATGATTTTTTTTTTGTTTTACTGGATTAAATTTATGGTACTGTGTGGGAAAGGGATTGGGTAAGTAGATAACGTGGAAAAAGCTATAGGGAAATGGATAAACTTGAGAATATGCATAATTACAGGGGAATCTGTTGGTACCAGTTTTGACTGGATGACTAAATAACCCAACAGACAGTTTTGTTTTCATAAGATATTAGTCTGGCTGCAGATATATTGGGTCCTCGGCAGATCTCTGCATATTGGATTTACTGAAAAAAGGTACTTGACCGGTGATGCATACAAAGAACAGCTGGTTTAGCGAAAATTAAGGACAAAATAAAAGGATTTATTGTCAATTTGAAGAAGTTTCTCTCTAATTTGACTTATAGTACCCAAATTAAATTGACCAAATAAATTACTAGTAAATGGTTTATCTTTTAAAATTAAGCAGTCGTTGCTTAACTCATGTGGTCAGGGATCAGCAGCAAGCTTGATCATTGGACAAATGGACAAATGTTAATTAAAATCACAGAGTATTCAATTAATTAATTAAAGCAATTCAGTTCAATACGATGTTTTCATAAACTTGATTGATTATAACATATAAAGAAAAACTTGAATTGAAGATAATGATAATTATTGAGTTAACGTACATGTAACAACCATCCATTATCGGAGAAAACATTCAGTTAACATGCAATAATTTCAATATCGATATCTACATAATTATACTACTTATTTATATTATTGTCATCGCATTTTTGTAAAATCATTTGAATACATGCATGTATGTGATTATAATGTACGTAATAAGATTAATAAGTTTTTCATCAAGATATATTTCTTTTGTACCAGCGTGTACACCTATACTGAAAGTGGGTGTAATACGTCAGGGATACGGACAAAACAAACATGAATATGAAGAGCACATGGATGAAATAAAGCACACTTTATTGATAAATTATTCTCACAGTCTCTGCTACAGTTCAGTTTCAGAAAAATGTTCACACTTAGTTGAGTCTGATACATTGTGACATGGCACACAAAATAACCAAATTAATTGAAAAAAGGCAGATATTAATTCATTTACACTAAATGTAAATGTGATGGACCATGGGGGGGGGGGCTTTTGTCCTACCTTTACTTTTTTATGGGGGGCTTTTGTCCTATGTGGAAATTCTTGGGGGGGCTTTTGTCCACCTTGTCATTATTAGACGGGGGGGGGGGGGGGGGGGGGGCTTTCGTCTGGGGGGGGCTTTTGTCTTACACTCAATACGTCATAATCTCGATCTCGTCTGTCCCGCGAGAGTGAAAGAACGCCAAAATGGCGGCGCCCATTAACTTATTTCTCAAGTAAAAAGTGTCTTAAAACTCGAATTTCTCACTTATACGGTTGATTTCAACAGAAAAACTGTCATGGTACCTCTTTTTAAATGATAAATATCTATATAAGACAGACATTAATCTATCCATTCCTTTTCCTTTAATAAATATCTTTGAGTAGAGACAGAGAAAATGTGTAACATTTAAACTCTACATACTTTAGGTAAAAAAAACAAACAGTATGAATACATTGTGTCATTAAAAAAACTGGAAGTTTTTGTTAAGAAAAGACCAAATTAACTTGACCAGTAATAGGGAATGCACCATCCAAAACATAGTTTGTGCATTCATACATTACAAATTCCAGAGTATGTGTATAAGCATATAGCTTCCTACACAATTACAAAAAAATAAATTCTGATGAAGAACCAGATGTGTTCAAAACTGGTTGATCTCAATTAAAATACTGTCCATATTAATCAGAATGATTTAAAGATCGGGCTCATATTTAAAAACTCAAATATTCTACAATTTGCTGATCCTCATAGGTTAAATATTTAATATTAACTAGATAAAACTGGACTTGAAATAGCATGTCTATGATTATTTTGAATAAATTTATTGTTATTTTCACAAGAAATGGGCATTTTACAGTTGATCCAAATATTAATCATGATCCTTATTTTGATTCTCTTATTTTTGTATCAGTGTTCTTATTCGTCGATTTTATCACAAAATAGGTTTGTTTCTTTGCAAATATGCATTGTTTTATATTTTGAATAAGTATCATTTAATTCTAGCAAAATACAATCAATTGTAGTCTTATAAAACAAATCAAATTAAATTAGGATTTTATCCTGATTCTGATATTTTCTTAGTGTACACAGGGCCTAGTGTTGACGTGTGGTTTCTTTGTATTTTTTCAGTTTCATCTATGTTTTTAAAAATTAAACTTAATTAGTCAAATTCAGTAAAAATTTCCTAAATTTCATTAAATTTAAACTTCTGATGTCAAAATTGGGCAGTCACAGTGGGTCATGGGTTTTCTTTTTATGGTCCTAGTCATACCATTAAAACTCTTCTTCTCTTAAACATCAAGAGACTGAACAAACATAAGATTTGATATGTATGTTTCCATGATTATTGATTTTGAGGTCAGTAGGTCAAAAGTCATTCTGAGTTGAGCGATATGGTGCCAGTGGCCTCCTTGTATCACTAGGCGGTCAGCAACCTTTTTAAATAAACTTTCATATACCTACGATGGCCAATTTGGGCTCCTTCATCCTTGTGGGTTGGAATCCCGCCAGGGACTTTGGATGCTTTGTGTGGGGCAGCTATCCAACTTATGTAAGGAAGAACATTTGTTCTACCCGGGTCTTCCTCCACCAGGAAAGATAAACAGTTGTCATATAGCCTTTACACTGTATACATTAGTAACGAAAAATCTTTATTATAGTAATTGATGCCAGTTTGATAAATATGCCCTTCCAAATAACTAATTCTATACTATTTTTTTTTAAGTTTCCAGATGCTATGTTATTCCGGTATTTACAGACGAGTTTTGTAAACTGTTTCTAGAGGAAGTACATCATTTTGAACAGAGTGATGCTCCAAAAGGCCGACCGAACACAATGAATAAATATGGGGTAAACAGAATATTTTATTCTATGCCATAGTTCTATTTTTAGTATCATTGTGTCTATTTTTAATTAAGATTTTTTTTATTAAAGTATCTTTTCTAACTAGTATTTCAGTAAGAAATTTCTGAGATAATCAATGTATTTGCATTCCTGATAAAGAGTATTCAACAAAAAACTGACTTGATATTGATGCATGTATCTTCTATTTTATAATTGTAGCACAATTAAGATAACTTTTTCAAGTTTGTTTATTTAAGAGAAGAAGATCATTTTTGCATATTTCTTTTTAATAGTATTCATTATGCTAGTATTTATGCTAATTTGTTATTTTTTAATTGAAAAAAAAAAACAACGAACTTTAGAGCTAATGACATAAAACTTCAAAAAACAGTGTTTAAACAATTATATTAAAAATTATATTTACTTAATCCTCATGCCATTGTTACAAATTTATTTATTTCTCAGTTGGCTTGCAAATATGGGAATGCTATAATTGTATGATATCACAATTGAATTTTGTTTGTTATATGGAGTGTCAGTGGTACTACTAATCTTCAATGGTGCCCATTTATATCTGAAATGATGATCAAGCGGGCACCTGAGGTCTTTCCCCACCAATAAGGCTGGAAAGCTGCAATATTACCTTTACAACTTGTCAGTGTGACTTAAAACCCTTAAAAAGTAAATAAACATGGTTCATACTATTCTTCAAAGGTGCTTCTTGAAGAGCTAGGCTTCGATCCTTTCTTCACTGAACTAAGAGAGCAATACCTGAAACCAATCACCAGCCTGCTGTACCCAGATCTAGGAGGTGGTGAGCTCGATTCCCACAAGGTATTTGTAGTGCAATATAAAGTTGGAGAGGACCTTGACCTTGCATATCACTATGACAACGCTGAGGTCACACTAAATATAGCATTGTCACCCAAAGACTCGTACAAGGGAGGTAATCTTTACTTTGGTGCTATGAGAACAGAACTTGCTGTTGATCGATATAAGGAGATAGAGCATCAATCAACGGCAGGTGTGCTTCATAGAGGACAACACATGCATGGAGCAGCATCTATCACATCAGGAGAAAGGTTTAATTTGATATTATGGATGAGGGCCTCTATTGTTAGAAATAAGAAATGTCCTATGTGTGATAGTATACCTGATTTAGTTGAAACTGTCGGGTTTGGTGATGGCTTTACAAAGCCAGAAACTGTAGATGTCTGTTCAGTGGTTTAGTTTATGGTCAAAAAGTGTTATATTATAACTATTTTTCAAATTACAGCATTGGAAATAACCACATTGACATATCTTTTCTTTGCCACATCCCACTAAAATGAATTCATGTTAGCAGTGCAGTATCAGTTTTCAATGTGTAGGTAACTTTTTCATGTATATTTGTGTTAACTATTTAATGGTACAGTAGGATTTGCACATTTCAGTGGGGTATGGCAAATAAACAATACATGTATTTTGAATTTAGCCCATATTGGATGCTTTAAACATGGAGTTGAAATTTTAAATTTGATAGTGACAGAGTTGTGTCAGAGTATTTATTTATCAGAAGTGTTTATTTTTTGGTGGTATCTTTTTCAAATTTAGCATAATGTTTATAATGTTATTTAGCATTACAAAACCATTAGGGTATTTTTGTACTCGTAGCTCTTATGAGCACAAATGGCACCTGAGCACAAAGTGCTTAGAGGTGAGCTTTTGTGATGGCAATGTGTCAGTAGTTTGTCTTCCGTCGCTTGTCATTATCTACATTTTCTAAATATAAATTACACCTCCTTAACCACTTGGTGGATTTGGAACAAGCATTACATGAATGATCTTGAAGTGACCCTCTTCAAAAGTTTTATAAATGATTTTAGTTTGTTGCAGAAGTTAGTCGCAGGAGCTAAAAATAGTCTCAAAAATGAATTCTTTAAAATTCTTCTTTTCGGACTTGATAATGCTCAGAGCTTTGATATTTGGCTTTATTGCATAATGATCACCTTGTGGTCGGTACTTGCTGGTTGATTTTCGTTTGCTCATCTGAATAAGAATGCTCAATGCCTAATGTAATGTCTTTATATTCTATATAATGAAAACTTATACTATATAACCTAGTTAATATGTCCTATCCTTAACCATAACAGAAATACATAAAACTGCAAAAAATATAACTAATTATATAATCAATTTAATTTTTAAGTTTTCTTTAGGTCCTTTATCCTATAGTATTACCACATAGTTTAATGTCAGTATTTATTATATTATGATATTATTGTTTGAAAATAGCTTTAAAATACACATTTATCTATTGTATGATCAACAATACAAAAATATTATTTGCAATAATGTCCTATACACTGCTGTAATGTGCTATAGGTAACATGTAGTATGTTCCTATAGATGTGTTTCGAAACCACCCTGGTTGGTAGTAATTATATTATGTTGATAATGGCTTCTGGCTACTGTTGACCGGACCTTCTAAGTTTTTACACAACATAAACTGTATGGTTCATTCCGTTGTTGTGCTGTTATAATCCAGAATATTTCTTTATTATTTACATCGAATGATGACCCCTCTAATATTATGATATATGTAATTCTTCCCATCATCATTTAGATGAACACCATCTGGTTTCAAAAGATCTAGACTTAGTGTAGCATAATGTCTTAGTTTCCAAAATGATACCTGATGAAGACTTCTAGTGTTTTTTAGTGCTAATTTATTGACCTATTTTACTTCTGCATTGTAAAGTGTAGTGTTTGCATTTTGTGTGCGCTGTCTTTGAACTAGCTGCATTATACACACATGTTTTAGATTGTTTCTACCTTGGAAGCGAGTGGCAGTTGCAATTAGATGTTGACCCACTTCCTCTGCGGTAACATTACCCAAACTATCCAGATCATTGCCACGATAAGGTAGATGGGTCGCAAAAAATCCTCATTTTAGTGTGAAATAAGTTCATCATAAATGTGATTCGTAAATAAATCAGTCTCCCTCTGCTGTATCCAAAAATACTGACTTTCTGATTTTCATTTAGCGTAAACGCTCTATCAATTCAACAATGTCTTCTTTGTTAATGAGCCGCGTCAGGACAAATCCAACATAATGGGTTTGCGACCAGCATGGATCCAGCCCAGCCTGCACATCCGCGCAGTCTGATCAGGATCCATGCTGTTCGCTATCAGTTTCTCTACTTGCTATAGGGTTTGTAAGTGAATAGCATGGATCCTGATCAGACTGCGCGGATGCACAGGCTGGTCTGGATCCATGCTGGTCGCAAACCCATTATGTTGGTTTTATCGTGACGCGGCTCAAATTATGTCTGAAATGATTCATATGACAATTTTCATCCTCCGTTATCTTTGGATCTTCTGACAACATATCTCGGACAACATATGTGAATCTCCGAGCAACAGTATATTCGTGGCCATCTTTGGGCTATTGATATATCAATCCTTATGTGTATATTGTCCTTCCCCTTTAAGCAGTTCATAAATATTATTTTGTTTTCCTGGCTTCTAAATCAGTCTTTATTCCAGTGACATTATGCACATACAAATATGTCTAACTCCGCATCATATTTACTAGTGACATAACTCACGTGATAAATCGATAAAAAGATATAAAAAATAATCAATATGGTTTATTTTTTTGTACTAGATAATCTTAGCGTAGAGTGAAAACGTGTAAGTAAAAAAACTTCTTTGTTTTAGTTTGTTTGAATAAATTAGTGCAGCATAAAATATACACATTATGGTACAATTTTATTTATTTAACACATATAGAATTTTATTAAGACTGCATGATTATTTTTCTTAAAGGAATTTATGCATGTTGAATTCGAAACTGACTGGAATATTCCATGTAATAATTTCATAAATCATTAATTTGATTTGTTTGACAAGATGGGTGGTAATTTTGCTATTTTATTTCCTCTTTTGAAAAGTTAATCATAACAAAAGTTACATAGGTAGTTTTTACCATCCTTTGAATGTTGGATTTAATAGTATTTCATGAAAATAATAAAGAAAATATATTTCTTTCTGTTTGACCATATGGGTGGAAATTTTGCTATTTAATTTCCTCTTTTGGGAAGTTCATCATTACAAAAGCTACATACAAGGTAGTTTTAACTTCCTTTGAATGTTGGATTTAACAGTATTTCATGAAAATAATCAAGAAAATGTATTTCTTTCGGATTTAACAGTAATTCATGAAAATAATCAAGACAATGTATTTCTTTCAGTTTGACCTGATGGGTGGAAATTTTGCTATTTAATTTCCTCTTTTTAGTTGTTGATCATTACAAAAGTTACATAGGTAGATTTAACTTACTTTGAATGTTGGATTCAATAGTATTTCATGGAAATAATCAAGAAAATATATGTCTTTGTTTGACCAGATAGGTGGAAATTTTGCTATTTAATTTCCTCTTTTTTAATTGTTGATCATTACAAAAGTTACATAGGTAGTTTTTATCTTCCTTTGTATGTTGGATTTGATAGTATTTCATGAAAATAATCAAGAAAAAGGATTTCTTTCTGTTTTACCAGATGGATGGAAATTTTGCTATTTTATTTCCTCTTTTGGATTATTGACCATAGGTAGTTTTTTTTTAACTTCCTTTGAATGTTGGATTTAATAGTATTTCATGAAAATAATCAAGAAAAAGGATTTCTTTTTGTTTGACAAGATGGGTGGAAATTTTGCTATTTAATTTCCTCTTTTGAATTGATGATCATTACAAAAGTTATATAGGTAACTACAAGGGGGTCGGATGATGTCACGAGCACCCTGTATGGCAGATGACGTCACAAGCATTCTAGTATTTTTAAATTACTTTAACATGTAAACAATCATACTTAAGTAATAAACTTACGTCTTTATCGGTAACACATAACAGTGTTTCCTGCGTCCCATTTCTTATTAGAAGTTCAGAATAAAAAACAGCAAATTAAATTCCATTATGCATTATGGGATAGTCAAGTGAAGGCATCTTGACAACCATTCGTATAAGGTCTTCAAGCTTAGCCCTATCTGTCAGTTCTTAAATTACGGCACTGATTCTTCTATTATTATTAGATTTTCAGAGTAAAAAATAAATACAGTGTAACTTCCGAATTCCAGAACTTCTGAAATCCGGAAACTTTTAAAAACCGAACAATTTTTTCGGTCCTGATTTTTTCTCTTCTATTTTCTATTAATATAATACTTCTGAATTCCGGAACTTCTAAATTCTGAATTCCGGACGATATTTTCGTAAAATTAGAGTCAAATCAATGCAATTTTACCTCCAAAATCCGGAAATATCCAAAGGTGTGAAATACATTTTAAATCGCGAATGTTTACCCTGCAGGAAGATTTAATCCCCCTATCGATTGTTTACCAATTAGCGGTGATCGTGTAATTTGACACACGTTAAAATCACAAACTGTGAAATGGTATGTTTGAAGTGATGCGATTAATTAAA